ATATATATATAGTATATATATATATATATATATATATATATATATATATATATATACATATATATATATATATAATTTAGTCTGGAATTTTTAGTGCGATCTGTTTTAGAATGGTCAGAAGAGCAGCAACGAATGGGGTGTTGTGCCAGTATCAGTAGAGGCAGGGCGCGCACCGCATTGTGCACGCTCAGTAATATATATATATATAAATGCTGTACATACAATGTTGAGAATTATGAGAGTGGATTGTACCTGTTGTAATAATATCATATGTTACCGTGCAATGTCGACCCACTGCTTTGCTAGTAGTTACTATGACAACGTTGTTGACACTGTTGATTCATTAAATTGAAACGTTTCTGATGTATGGACACAGAGATAATGTATACATTATAATCTGCTTTAGAATATAAACATGGCCGGCTGGCATTTATGTTATTTCTCTGGACGATAATGGTTACTCGTGTTCCAACGCACAGGGCCCCCACAGCCCTTGAAAGTCCTTCAATTTTGTCCTTTGTCCTTGAAAGTCCTTAATTTTTCCTTTTGTCATTGAAAGTCCTTGGAAATAGGTCCAAATCCTTTTATGTCTAATGTCCTGGAATTTTACATTTTTGATCTAAAATAAAAAGCAAATCTTCATTGCTGGTTATCTGACCGATCCTATTCTAAGTCTTCAATAAAAATGTTAAATTTAATCCAAAATCCACATGTCATTATGAGGGAGAGGATGAGCGGGAAGGTGAGAGAAGTAACTATATTAGAAGGAATATGTGCATCCATGCCTGTGTGTGTGCCGTACGTGCGTTTGTCTGCGCGTGTGACTGCGCATCTTCGTCTGCATTCCTTCCTCCCTCCTTTCTCTCCTCTTTCCTTCCTCCTCCCCTCTCACACCCTTCCCCTCAGTATTTCCCTCCCCCTCTCGCAGATAGTATTGCCCACGGCATCAGTTGCACGGTGAAAAGCTAGCCAGGCAAATGACTGGTTTTCAGCCTAAACTTTTTCACTCACCCCCCCCCCAAAGCACAAAATGTGGAGATATGGCTATAATACGCGTTTTTACAGTCACACAAACACACATACACACACTCTAACGGACGCGCACACGCGGGTGTGATCGCACGCACGCGTGCGCGTGTATTATCGGCGTAAATTCACATTTTGTGCGTGCGTGCGTGCGTTATGAGAAATATTGCGAGAGAGACAGAGAGAGAGAGAGAGAGAGCACGAGAGAGAAGAGGGAGCGCGCGCGAGAGAGGCGTGATCGATTAGAAGAGAGAGAGAGAGAGAGAGAGAGAGATGAGGGTGGAAGAGAGGAGAGAGAGGAGAGAGAGGAGGAGAGAGAGAGAAGAGGGCGAGAGAGAGAGAGAGAATATGTGATGCTTGCTGATGTACTGTGTGTTGGTGTAGGTGCGTGCGGTGCGTGGCAGCGAAATTATTGCGCAGAGACAGAGAGAAGGCAGGGGGTGATGAGTCACAGAGAGGGAGAGCGGTGAGCGGCCAGAAGCGAGAGAATAAACTTTATTGGAAGGAATATGTGATCAACGCTGTGTGTGCCGTTTGTGCCGTACGTGTGTTTGTCTGCGCATGCGTGTGCACATCTCGGTCTGCATTCTTTCTCCCCCCCCCGCCCCTCTCCTTTCTCTCTTTTTTCCTTTCTCCTCCCCTCTAGCACCCTTCCCCTCAGTATTTGCCTCCCCCTATCGCGGATAGTATCGCCCACGGCATCAGTTGCACGGTGAAAAGTTAGCCAGGCAAATGGCCGGTTTTCAGCCTCAACTTTTTCACCTCCCAAAGCACAAAATATGATTATACGGCTATAATACGCGTTTTTACAGCCACGCAAACACACATACACATCCACTAACGGACGCGCACACGCGGGTGTGGTCACACGCACGCGTGCGCGTGTATTATAGGCGTAAATTCTCATTTTGTGCCTCGCCGAGTGAAAAAGTTTCGACTGAAATACGGCCATTTACCTGCAAAAGTTTTTCCATGCTTGACTGGTCGTGGGCGATACTATCTGCGAGAGGGGAGTAAGGAATGTGATTACTTTTATTCACTGTTAATGTTACTGCCTGTTACATGTTCTGCAGATGAAAGGTCAGCATAAAGAACAGGCCATTGTTTATTATTATTATTATTATTAAATCTTTATTGCATGTAATTCAACTACAAATACATGTACTAAAGACAGTCTTTTTCATGGAGAGAAAATCTAATGAATGCAATAGTGTTGAGCAGTTAAAATAATAAAATTTCTCAGTGATACAGTAGCCTACATATTGTGTAATACATAGTTCCGAGTGATATATGTTACATCAAAGCTTTACATATTGTTACAGGACTGTGACATGAATCTACGTGAATGACAATATGAAACGTCTATTGTGTACGTCGGTAATCGCCGAGCTATAGCAGCTGTTTAATCTGCTGTCGGCACTCGTGTAAAACAACTATTTTTACTTTATATATGAATTTAATCTATATATGATGACTCTAAAAAGCTAAAACTACTTGTCGCAGATTGTTCTTGAAAAAAACATGTCATTGAAATGTCCTTGAAAAAATAATTCACACTTGTGGCAACCATGAACGCATTCAATAACAACTAAACATGCAAAGACACAAACGCAAAGACACAAACTCCTGTTAAATATTTTATTCAGTGCCGGAAAAAAAAACAAATGCGAATAAATCGGGCGTCACATACATCCGTCACGTCAAGGCATTAACAATGAGTGACAGAACCTTCAGATCTTCAGCTGATAAAAAGCAGCTTTCAAACTCCATCTCACACTACCAGACACCTCAGAGAAGGCGGCGATGGACCGACTCAAGTTACAAGCACCTATTTGAATCGTCGCAGTTAATTTGTCAAATTCGCCGATCGTCTTAATTAACATCAGAATTTTCGAGCTACGACACAATTTTTCGCTTTGAAACATCCCTCCTTGCCCTCACTCTGCTTTCCAAATTGCCGCACTGTTTTTATTTTTATTCATCGATGCAACATGCTACGTGTCATAGAGAATTTCATGCCACACGATCAGCCACTATCGACAGTTGATGCACAAACCACGTAGACTCGTTAGCAAGGACGATCGAGGATCGAGGAACAACGACCGATAAAAAATCGGGCGAAGCAAAGTCGCGAAGACGTCGCGAAAGCAGCCGGCCGAACGCACGACCGAGACGTCGCGCGAGGATCGCCGGCGCCCCCTGACGGCCGTCGCTACGATGTTAGCCGGTTCAGTTGCGTCGGCTGTAGTCGCGATCGTGGCCGCGATCGTGGCCACCTCGTCCTCCGTATCCCCCCTGTCTTCTCCCTGAAACAGCAACATGCATGCGGGATCTTAACACTTTGCTCTCACACGCCTCGGCAGTGGCACTGCCGGCAATCCTGGCTTCGATTGACGCGGCCCTCATTAATTACGTGCAACTTCGTTAAGTGTTCTCGAATCGCGATTCCCCAGAAGCTTCTTAGGGGTATCTAGAGTGCACTGCCACGGCAAGTTATTTATTGAAGCTGATACGAACCCATGTGTATTTTCCCGAAAATATTCACTCGGTAACATCATTGCATAGCACAGAAATGCAGAGATTGCTGGCTAAATGAGCCAAGAAACATAAAATTAACGGCCATAGTGCATAATAGATGTAGCAGATCATTGGCGATTCATTGGCCATCATTATTACGTGTCTGCGAAAGCATCGTTAATTCTATATGTTCGAAGATAGACCGAATAGGAAACCACGCATAGGTTAGCGCAACTGCTCGAGCCCTTCCACTTCTTGCAACGGCACAGCCACTCTCCCCTACCTCTGGCCACCTGTCCTCCCCATCCAGCCACCCATCCAGATGAGAGGGGATACTAGAGAAGCGTTGCTGAAAGGAGATGTTGATCCCAATTGCGCTGAAGCGCAGATCTTTCGCGCAGTTCCGCGGCAAGGCGCACGCGACCGCGGGAACGTCCTACGACAGTATGCAGCGCTGGCAGCTATGGATCCGTGCGCCCCCCAATTCATTCGGCGCCCCGGACCCAAACTGCCACCCCTGCCATCTCTCGTATGGAGTTCCCCCGGTCGCGG